TTTCTACTGCTACCATCCAAATAAAAACCGCACTTTCAACACTGATGGTGTATTGTGCGTCAAAAGTTTTAATTTATTAAAATGTACATATTTGCGTTTATACGTAAATAACATAGTGTAAACAACAGATAAGAGATCTGAAATTGAAACCAGTCCAAAACATGTTCCATCGCCCTATCCCAACCCCCGCACGCGCGCAAACACCCACACAAACACACAGATATACAAATAGGATTAAGCCATTTCATCAGGGCTATTTCAAATCTTTTATTTCGTCTTTTATATTACAGCTCTTTTTCGAGTTTTTCTTCAACCACGTTTTCTTTTCATCCTCAAAAGTAATGCCTGGGCATGCGCATGCTTCAAGGTACCATGAGATCCATCGCTTTCATGAATGTTCGCCACCGTTTTGAACTCACTTGTTTTTAATATCGATATTAAATATCATTTAAGAATACCAATAACATTATTTCATTAAATAAGGGAGAGATACTGAAAAAAAAATAATGAAAAGCTTTGACCGTCTTCCTGGTGTCCCAGAAGATATCCTCCATCCGCCCCTCATACGATACACTTTTGCACCCCTGCGTTTAATAAATGCCTATAAAATGCACTTTGGACTTGTATTGAAAACTAGTTCGATTTCACGAGCAAAACGAAACCGAACTCAGAGGACTTGAACGGAAGTAACCCGAACGGTAGGCAAGCTTTAATTTGAATCTTATTTTTGTAGGTAAAGATGAGAATTACACCCCAAATTAATATGTGCACAGAGTAGCTTCATATGTTGGCTTCCGTCGTCCCAAATGCGCTCATATATAATAGAATATGGCACTGGCGCTGAAAAATTGAATACCCCGATTTAAGGCTGTCCATGCAAATGAAATTCAGGTCATTCAATAGATCAGCACCTGTGCTGTATCTTATGGGCACATTTGGGAAGTGGAAAGCCAAATATGTTATTATTCCGTTCACATATTTTAGAGAAGAGATACAAGCATGTTAAAACACACGAAAAAAAAAACGAAATGTCAAGGCTCTCTCAGCTCTCGGGTTTCCACAATTTAACTCACACTGGTGTAAAATTTTCCGCGCACTTTTTTAAAGGAAAATTATAATCCCTTTCCATGCGATTGGTTGTCTGGAACTGAACAGACCAGAGATGTCTTCTTAAGAGTTAAAACACAATCAAGTACAACTGGAGTACGGAGATTGGCAGATAACGGAGGTATGCGTCGAACAAAGAAATGTATACATCTCTCTCTCTTGATATACTGTGCAGATCTTTTCACACATACGGGTGTTGTGAAAAACATTTGTTATATTTACATGAATTTAACTTTTTCCTCAATCTCTTCTAGCAGGGGCTTAATTTTCTTTCCCTTTAGACTTATGTTCAATTCATCTTGTTTTGGAGAGTGCATCAAGTTGATTTCAACGGAGTGGTTTCTGAACTCTCAAGCCTTTATTTGGTTTTCCTCAGGGTAGCGTTCTTGGTCTTATTTTGTGTTTACAAGTTCGGAACGCAGTCCCTGAAATGTAGGTTTTTCTAAGACCCTCCCTATCTTTCTCAGGTTAAAATCAGAAAGATAAGCTCAAAAAGGCATCTTCAAATAACAACTGAAAATCAATTCGATAAACAAATCACGAATTACCCTCGATTTCAAAGCAAACTCGAGTATCTTGATAGAATTATCAGCTATAGACCAATATATCTGCACGTCCACGATACTGGAGGTTAGGCTCTTAAATGTGGCACCACAACTTTTGAGTGTTAACATTCTCGATGATGAAACGCATCATTAAAAAAGGAAAAAAATAGCACTGTTTAGGGGCGAATCCAGGTTATTTGAAAGGGGGGGGGGGGGGGGGGCCCGGGGATGCGAAGCCGATCCCCCCTCCCCCCTTGGCGTGGGGCCCGGGGCCCGCTAAAGGCCCCCAAATTTTTTGGTATTTTAGAGGACGAACGGTGCCATTTGCTACTGTTTATAAGTATGATTCAGCTAGTCAAAATTCTAATTTCAAGAGGGGACCATTGGTGTGATTTTTTCCAGATATTGAAAGGGGGGGTCAGGACCCCCCTGCCCCCCCCTCCCCCAAATCCGCCACTGTGTTTTATTAAACTTGATGTATTATGAGTTTGAAAAATGCACAGGAAGGCCATTTAAGAGCATATTCGTCTATTCTTACATTTACTTAAAGAAGCGTTACGGAGGTTAGGGGTTACTGTAACTAACCGACAAATTCGACAGAGAACACCATGTATGATAGAAAGAAACATGGATTCAAACTGGTTGAGGACAAAAAATATTAAAAGACGGGAAAATGTAAACATTTTCATGTGGCAAATCAGCTATAATACTGAAGCGACACGTAGAAATCGTGCTTTTTGCGGTGTATATACCCCGTGGTTGCCGTCAAAGCGAGTGGTGCAGTATGAATTGTTGTTTTTTATGTAGAACACGTAGGGTCCTGCTGCAAAAGGCTAAAAAGGCAAAATTGCAGACATCTTTACTACCGAAAATAAGCTGCGAATGCAAATATATTCACACGGCATACAAATAGACATCCTCCACACTTCGTTACTCCCAGCTCTAAAGACTGAAGTGGCTGGAAAAAAAGTGACGGGAGTAAGCCCCCCCCCCCCCATCCAACCACCCTGCCGCTTGCTCCTTCCATACTCTGCCTTTCTCTACAGCGAAACAGTTTACGCGGTCTGCAACATTTTAGGGAGAAACGGAGAAACAGATGAAATATAGATTTTGTCATAATATCTGCAAAGTTTTAAGTCTCAAAACTGTTGAAGTTGGTTAGTTTTTAGTCCGTTAAAAAGTGTCCATTATAATCTGCTTTTTAGTGGTCCCAAGAGTCCCAAATATTTTGCTTGCATCTTGATTATTTTCTCTTGCGTGCTCCCCCCCCCCCAACCGTCCATACCCAAAAATCGACAGGCAATTGACCTACTTTGGGCCAGCGTAGTTATCGGCGCTATTTGACAATTTTATGACTTGGGCGTGAAAACGTGATTCACGTCTGTGATATGAAAGTTATTTATATTGATTTGATTAATAAACAGCACATGTCGATCAAATCTTTCAAATATTAGTAGCGTAAGGAGACATTGCTTTTTATGGATAATGGAAAATGTGCACGCAACTCAAAATCAAGAAAAAAAACTGCATTTTCTCTCTTATATGCAAATTAGATTGCCTTGGGTTGTAAACTGTGATGTAACGAGACCGGCACAACACAATCTAAATGACGCTGCAAACGAATTTGTCAGCGGGAGGACAACCAGACAGTATTTTGGAACATTTTAAAGAAATACAAAGACGTTTCCAAAATAAATGGAAATATGAAAAAAAAAGTTATCTTAAGTTGTTTATATGCTTAAAAATAAACATTTTCTCTTTTAGATTTAAGAGCACAAAACTGAAGTTGATTTGAATTTGTGCTATTAAAATCTATTGAATAAAATGCTAAGCGAACCAAAGAAAATGTCTGACTCGAGTTATTTGCTTTTAGTTATTGTACATTCACAAATGTAGACAAATGAAATCCGGTGAAACATGCATGTGTTTGCACTGGCCGATACCCCAGCCAACTGATGTCCATTTTCAAGTACCTCATTTTCGGTATAATTCTCCCTCAAAACAAACTCTCCCAAGTCAGGAATATTATTTCAAATAAGACTTAGGCTATTGTATAAAATCATTGAGTTCATAATATTTGAGAAACTCTTCTTTCTAAATTAAGAAAATGTGCATTGGCATTTCGAAAAATTCCAATTCTACCTTCAACCCCCCCCCCCCCCCCACCTTTCTACTGTTACCATTCAAATAAAAAACCGCGCTTTCAACACTCATGGTGTAGTTGCGTCAAAGGTTTTAATTCATTAAAAATCTATATATTTGCGTATATACGTAAATAACATAGTGTAAACAACATATTTTTTTAATCTGGGAGAACAAACATTACAGATAAGATATCTGAAATTGAAACCAGTCCAGAACATGTTCCATCGACCGGAAAGCGCATCCCGGGCTTTCCGGTCGATGGAACAGGGCTATTACAAATCTTTTATCTCGTCTCTTATATTACCGCTCTGTTTTGAGTTTTTCCTCAACCACGTTTTCTTGTTTTCTTCCTCGGAAGTAATGCCTTGGCATGTGTTTGCTTCAAGATACCCTGAGAGCTATCTCTTTTATGAATGTTCGCCACCGTGTTTGAACTCACTTGTTTTTAATATCGATATCAAAAATAATTTAAGAATACCAATAACATTACCTCATGAAATTAGGGAGAGATATTGAAAAAAATATGAAAGCCTACCAAGAATCTTACTTTACAGGTCGAGTTACCTGTCATTACCTGGCTTGGGGAGTGCGACGGTACGTAATTAGTAAATGAATTGTTTACGACCTCCAGCTGATTAACAACCAGGCATTATAATTGCATCAGCAATCATTAAGCATGTCAACTGATGATAGTTAAATTTTGAAGACTGTCAGCTTTTGATATGATCTAAACCATACGAGTTTCATGGCATCTACTGTCACCGAAGTGAGTAAGAAAGTCACAGAAGACAGTCATAGACAAAGCAAGAAGAGCGTCAACGAAATCTTGAAAAATCTTGACCATCATAGAAAAAAATAGATGCCCGTCAATGCAAAATTGAAAAAAATCTGACCGCCTTCTGGAAGACCCAAAAGATGGCCTCCATCCGCCCCTTTTACGATACACTTTTGCGCCCCCGCGTTTGATAAACTACCTCTAAAATGCACTTTGGACTTTTATTGAAAGCTAGTTCGATTTCATGAGCAAAACGAAACCAAACTCAAAAGGACTTGAACGGAAGTAACCCAAATGGTAGGCGAGCTTTAATTGTCTTTTTTCGTACGTAAAGACGAGAATTACACCCCAAATTAATATGTGCACAGAGTAGCTTCAAATGTTGGATTCCAAATGCGCTTACATATAATAGAATATGGCACTGACGCTGAGTTATTGAATATCCCGATTTAAGTGACATTTAAGGAGCCTGCCGATACACATGAAATTCAGGACATTCAATATAGCTCAGCACTGGTCTTGTATTTTATGGGCACATTCGGGAAGTGGAAAGCCAAATATGTAATAAATTCGTCCACATATTATTTAGGCAAGAGTTACACGTGTGTTTAAACACGAAATGTCAAGGCTCGCCCACCACTCGGGCTTCTTCCGTTAACCCCCACTCCCTCACACTGGTGTAAAAAATTCAGTGCGAGCTTTATTTTATTTTATTTTATTTTATTTTTATTATTATTATTTTTTATTTTAGAATTATAATCCCTTTCCACCCGATTGGTTGTCTGGAACAGAACAGATCAGAGATCAGAGTTAAAACAAAATCAAGTGCAGAGGGGTATGGCAGATAACGGAGGTAGGTGTTGATCTGTATATAGTGAGGATATAGAAATATCCTCACAAGTGTCACTCATGATTCTGCACTATCGGCGAATACCATAGAGAGAGATCTCTAGCATCACCAACTCTTGTCTTTTCAAAGTTCAAATTACTGGTGCAATAAGAAAGCATCTGACCGAGCTGAGTTTGCTGTTACTGCTATGCAATCATTAGTCAAGCCTACACTTGATTACTCTAACTCTGCATCACATGGATGCCTAACTTAAACTGATGACAGATATTAAACGATATCAACAATACGCTGTGCAGCCGAGAGACTGCCAGAATACTCAAAATTAAAAACAGTTGCACTGGTTTTCAATTCGGGGTACAATTTTATTCAAAAATTTAATTTTCACACATGCTGCATTTTTAAATTTTGCTCCGCCTTGCACACCAGTTCTTATTAAACATCGTAGTCTTCAGTGAACTCTAAAGTCTGGGTTCAAACACATAGTGCCATAGCATTGTAAATAGCTGCACCGATGGCGTGGATAAGCTGCTTATTCAATTCAGACAAATATGATTTCAAAGGTCAATTAATTAATTATTAAGAACTTCAAAAACATTTTAAATATGGCTTATTTATGATTTTGTTGACTCTAATTTCTGTTGGGTAAGAAGCTGGAACTAATAATTTAAGTACGTTACAGGGTATTTACTTTTGCTGTAAATGTATGTTTACATGCTCGTAGATACCTGTATGTTATTTGTATTATCAGATAAGACTCCAGAAAACAGACTGACCTAGACGATCTTATCACAAACTGTTCAAGTCACGCCACACTGGATATATTTGTACTCTAGCCCTTAGGTTTTATCACCCTGAGTTTCAGAGCTAGAGATCGCTGAAAACTCCTCTCTATAACCAGCATTTCTGCCTCTCCTAATATAGCCGCTGGCATCTGAATCCTAGGGTGCTCCTTATGGTATTGGCTTATGATATCGCCTGTTACTCCAATTTTTACCATATGCCTTCCATATCTAGCTTTGAAATAAGCAGAGTGTCTTTTTTTTGTTCCTAGAACATAACACCAGTATGAAAGAGAAAGAAAGGGACATGCTGGAGAGGAACCGAAGGACGCTGGCGAGGGACATATCCGAGTCATCACTCCGAGGAATACTTACTCTTTTTCGCTCTGAAGATATTTTTACAGTAAACGATTGTGATACAGTGGTCAGTGAACAGATTCAGTCTGTCAAGGCCGAGAAAATGTTAGACCTACTGATGACCAAGGGTTCGGCGGCTTTGCACGTATTTAAAAATGGTCTTAGAGATGCCAAACTACCATTTTTGGCGGACCTTCTCGAAGACGTCGAGGATGAGGATGAACGAGGTATTTATACCGATAGATGTTAGTTTAATTATATCGGTAATGTTTATCATATTACATATCATAGTTTAAATTTTAAAAAGAAAAGCGAGAGAGAGAGAGAGAGAGAGAGAGGGTACTATGTACAATATGAAAGGGGACAGTATTTTATGCTGCCTTTTTATAATAAAATAATTATGATAAAATTATCCGATTTTGGTGAGGATATATGTATTATTCAAATTGTTTCCTCTAGAGAACTCAAAATCTTCCATTGGTAACAACATTCCTCGGCAGCCGATGTCCGATGATCTCTTTGTGGGTCGGTCAGGCGAAATGCAGACACTTGAGCGGAATATGACAGAAAATACAGCTGGCTGTTTGGTGCCCATATCAGCCATGCCAGGATGCGGAAAAGCGTGTCTTGCTGCCCAATATGCCTGGAAACACGACAAGTGGTATAAGGACGGGATATTTTGGATATATTCAGCCTCGGAAGAAATACTAGAAGAAGAGTTTGCAAAACTTTGTAAGTGGGTCCTGTAAATGTTTAAGGTAATTTTTGCCTAAAAGCCGGAAATCCTCGATAAAATCATATTAGTTCAAATCCCACGGGAGCACTTACACTTCACAAGCTTATGCATCCTTGAATTACATATGCACTGAATTGTTTTACGTATTTTCATACTTTTGCTTGTTTCAGATGATGTTATCAAGCAGGGTAAGGGGTTTGCCAAGGAGAAAGAAGACATTAAAAAGAAAAGGATTCAAGAAGTGAAGAGGTGGCTGAAAGATAAAACGAAGTGGCTGATGGTTTTCGACAGCGCTGATGATGACAGTATCCTGCGAAGTATTTCCAAAAATTATCTCCCAAAGAAATTCTTCGGCCATGTTATTATCACCACGCGAATTGAAATCGTTCAACTCCGCCGACTTGTGCAGTATAAGGACACGGTGCACCTGCAGAGGTTAAGCACAGACGATTCCATCATGTTCTTAACCAGATACACGGACAGAAAAGAGCAGTCCGAGGAGGAGACAACAGCTATGAAGGATGTCGTTAATAACATAGCAGGAGGGCTTCCCTTAGCCCTTGCTGAAATGGCTGCCTACGTGAATGAAAAAAACTACACCTTTAAACAGTACTGGGAAACCTGGAAGAAGCTCAAGGATGATCCGACCCACTTCAAACGGCTTTTGACCCAAGTTGAAGATGACAAAGCAATTTCAACCGTCTTTAATGCAAGTTTCCGGTACATCGCGGAGAGGTTTCCATCTGGGCATTACGCTCTCCAAACAGCGGCGTTTTGTAACGCTGGTACCAACATCCCCTTGAAACTGTTCATTCTGGGCCAAGATCAGCTTCAAGATGATATCCCAGAGGAGGAACGATTAAAACGTATGTTAAAAGATTCCGACGAACAAGATATCAACCTCCGCGATTTGGTGTCAGCAATAAGAAAACATCAGCTGATATCTGTGCAAGACGATGATGATCTCCACAACCTGACCTTTGTTTGGAACCCATTTGTTCAAGATCAGATGAGAGAGTCAATGAGTGATGAAAATAAAATGAAGTGCTTGCGCACCCTTACCCGGATGATGACGGCCATATACCAGCATGGAGAACACGACCACATGGACGTGCAGACGATGCTTCTCCCACACGCAAAAGCTTGTGTCGCCTACCTTGAGACTATGGGCATTGATCATGATGGCGAAGAAAGTGCAAATTTCATCAGCTTGCAATTACATATTGGTGCCTGCTATTCCAGAGTGAATAAATTTGAAGACGCCGACAAATGCTTTCAAAAATGCAGAGAGCTTCTCTCCGATCTCGAGAAGAAAATACCAAATAACCTAGAGGCATCATTGACTCTTGAACGCGGAATACTCGAGCGAAGAAAGGGTTGTGAAATTCTGGCCATAGATTTGTTGGAGTCTAGCTACGGAATGCACAAACAGCTTGAACAAACCAGTCTCAAGGTAAAGTTGGCCACGGCAGAGGCATTAGAAGCATTAATATTTGCCTATGTGGACTGTGGAAATTTTGTTGAGTTAGAACGAAAACAGTACGTCTCACAGCTAGAAGACACCTTGAAGATAATTTCCTTCAATGACAACATCAATTGTAATTTGATAGCACATCTTTACGGAACGCTTGGGCGGTATTATCAGAGTAATCACGCTAAGAAGAATTTTGACCGGGCATTGGAATACTACAGCAGAGCGTGTGAGAAGAACAAAGGCTCCTATCGCAAGCCCATATACAACACTTGTGTGGCGGAGCTTATGTTTCTCACGGCAGACCCAAGTGATACCAGAACCATCATGGAAGCCAAAGAACGCTGCTTGGAATCCAAAAAGATGTTGGACGAATGGAACGCTCCGAAGCACAGATATCACGCGTGGAATGCGGTCATTCTGGCTGAAATACAACTGGCACTGGGCTATTTGAAGGCAGCGTTGGAGACCATAAAAGAAGGGGAAGAACTTCACGAGCAGGTCTATGCTGGGAGCTGTAACCTGGAGCTTGCTAAACACTTCCGCATTAAAGGTATTTTTAGTTAAGTTAGAAAGAGTTAACTTTAGTAAAGGTTTTAATCAAAGTGCCATACTGTATTTTGTTCAGTTACCACTACACAATTTTTCAGAAAAAATATTTATGTCATATTTTTTTAAATCATAAGCTGCTGTCTTGAAGAAACTATCATAGTAAAGAAAGTGTTGCTGCCATGTATTGGTTCTTAGTTTAATATTTTTTCGAAGTCAGACACGTTTAGATGCATTTTTAAATGCATATGATTAAGAAAACCATTTGTAAGGGTAGTGTGATTATGATCAAGTGTCAGATTTTGATTTAAAAATTTCTCATATGAACCTACTGTTTTTAGGTCACATATTGAAAACGATGGCCAAAGACGCATCTGAAGTTGCAGAATCTATGTACCTGAAGTACAAGTACACAAAGGAAGAAATAGAAGAAGAAGAAACTAGATTGGACAAATTTGTTCAGAAACGCTCGAAAGGAAATGAGAAGGTCGTGATTGTAGACAAGTAAGAAAGATAAAATAAAAAACGTTTGTAGAGCTAGGCTGCATATTCTAACCAAATATTGCACAGTAGGTTGCAAGTTATTTTATAAAAGAGTTTCACACGAAATGAATTTGAGTTTTAAACACATTTTTTCAATGCTGTGAATGTCTATAGACATTTGTTATTACTGTTGTTGTTATCGCATCTTAGTCTGAAGTGCATTTCTTAAAAGATACATATAAGTACTGTATATTTATCACATCCAACTAGGTTCAATTGAGACAAAGTTACGAATTCAAAGGTAATTTTAAATGATAAATAGAATTAGTAGGGTCAGTTGTGAGTGTGTGTGTATTCTAACCAATATGTTACAAATAAAAATGAAAAAGCATTAATGGTAAGTAAAGTTCATTTAAATGTGGCATTTACTGTAGATACATTTACTGTATATAGTGTGTTATCTAGTGGTCGGTGGAATGGATGGTATCATGTTGTAGAGTAAATAATTGCCCACAAGCTTTAGGGAGAAAATAGTTGAATAGTTTATAAATGATACAGACCTTGAATAAAGTGGACAAATAATGTGCATAGAAAATGTTAAGTTGGTAAATAAAGATAGAATAGTACAACAAAGACGTCTGGCCATTTTGTTGGAGAACAACGTTAAAGTTGAAAAATATATAGCAACCATGGAAATGCTTGTAGAAGTGTTAGCTAAGATAAATGATATGATTTAATACGACTGTTTCATTGCAAAGGTTATTGTTAATGAAATTATGTTTCAGATAATAAGCAGTGAATAATATGGCTTGCCTGTAAAATAAATTTGCACAGCTAAGACGTTTTGATCAAGGACAAGGCTTTATTTATTTATTTATTTATTTGTTTTATTTTTTATTTATTTTTTTATTTATTTTTATTTTTATTTATTTATTTTTTTTTTTGTGAAAACGGTGCCAGGAACCATTCAAATTGGTTAGAAAAGCTTGCAGCGGCTTGGCTTGGAGGCTGGCTGCCTTTTATGCTGTCACAATCTATGTACCTTTGCAAATTTATATAAAATGCGATTTGTAAGCAAATAATTATGAATTTCAGAAAGACAAGAAAGAGAATTCAAAAAAAGAATAAATGTGGTGCCCATTTTTATCATTTAAAGGTTGAGTTTTGTAAAATGCACAGCGTGCGTCGGACGGCTCACCAAATTGGGGCATAAGTTAGGTCAGCACCTGTGCTAATTTTTTGGGCACATTTAGGATGAAGAAAGCCAAGATAAGTAGTTACTCCGTACACATATTATTTTTAATGTAGGTCTACTATTTGTAAAAGAGATAAAAAATACGAGGATTATCTATGCTTACTTCCGGTTTGAGAGTTCAACCCTTGTATAATTTTTAAAAGCGATCCATACACAAAGACCAATCTATTTATCTGATCTTATCTATTTTAACTCACCACGGCAGTCCACACGTTTTCATACTGAGAATGACCTTATATTAGAACATTCTGTATGAGAGAAGGGGTCTCTCAAAAGTTATGGTGATCGGGCTTTTACAATTTACGCCCCCAAAGGGTGGAATGCGTTACCAAATTCTATTAGAACAGCAGACGACTTTGACAGTTTTAAATATCTTCTATAGACCCACATTTTTAAATCTGTGTATTGCTCTTAAATTTTTTTTATATATTTTAATAGGATTGAGTATTAACTTTAAATGGTTCTGATGAGTGTTTTAAATTTAAATATTGTAGTAATTTTAATGATTTTAGTTATGTTAACCATTGTAAGGAGCCTTGAGATAGTATGTAAGGCGCCATATAAGAAACTTATTATTACTATTATTATTAAAATCGTTCTTAATTTGCAGCCAACTCTCTTGATAAAAGGCAACCTACATGTAATATGTAGTATCGTTTTTATCAATTAAAATATATGCATTTATTGCTTGATTTCAAGCCCTAAAGGACTACTAGGCATTGAGCAGGGAAACCATTCGTGGATACTAAAATATCATATGACCAAAGCAGAGGCGGATCCAGGTTTATTTGAAGGGGGGTCCGTTTTTTTTTTTTTAGGAACGACAGGCCTCGGATGTGAAGCCGACCCTCGCCCCCTCCTCCACCCCCTTGACGTGGGGTTCGGGGCCCGCTGAAGGGCACCGTAAAATTTTAGTATTTTAGAGGGCGAACGGTGCCATTTGCTATGGTCTAGAAATATGATTAAGCTAGTCAAAATTCTAATATCAAGAGAGGAGTATTGGTATCGGTATTGGTATTTTTATAGCCCGCGCTCCGACTGCCTTGGGCAGCTGTATTTTGAATTAAGCCATTGATGTTGTGATTTTGTCATGTAAACCAAATATTGGTCTTCAAAATGGAAGATAGACTGCCTTGTATGAATAAAATTAACAAACCTAGGCGGGACTAGTCTCTATAGTAGCCAGCGTATGGAGTATTGCTCTCTACAAAAATTGCCCCGTTCATGAGATGACGCGTTACTGTCTACCATTAAAAGACCCAGTTCAGTAGAAAATGGAACGACTTTTTATATCAACCCTGTATCAATTTCTGGTTCCCCATCGAGTAAATTCTGAATCATTTTTACGTATATAGAGATTAAAATAGATTAAAACTAGAGGATCAGAGAGGCTATACCGCCTCCGAATATTGTACCACCAGCTGGAGTAAGCGCATTCATATAGACTCCCCCACACACAAAAAAANTCTAAACAGGTATACCTGCAAACAGTAAAAACTGTTTGATATTAATAAAAATATAAACAATAATGCTAAACATAATAACTAAACCACTCTGCAGTCTAACTGCATGGCTACGAGTTATTGCCAAGATGTGTTTAGTTTATAACACTCTCCTCTAGTTCCTCTAGAATGTGTGAAGAATTACAATAATATGAATAGGACACGTTTTCACAGTATTTTGGAAAAGTTAAATCTACTTAAAAATAATGCTTTCAGATCACAGAAACTATTTGCAGTTGATTCTAACGACTTATACCATAAACTGGCATTATCTTGCAGTAAAAACGGTAAATTGATTATTCTCTGCTGGTCAGAAAAATTTACATAGTTGCAATATTGTTTGCATTTTTGTATCCAGTCTCTTGCACGTTCGCAAATTTTTCTCTGAGAAAGGAATTGGGGTGAGGTGAGGAGGTACTGAGTACATTACCACTGGCGCTGGCTGCATCAGTTGGACCGGGGCTGCCTGTTCCTGGTGTTCCTGGTACTAGGTTTTTAGACATAGTTCTACTTCAGGATCAGCCACAGGCCTCCACCAGTGTCACAAACAAGCACAACAAGAGATCTCCTCGGTTTTTATTAGTTCTGTTTCACCTAGTCCAGATTTTATATATTTAATTATGTGAATCGTTTAAATACATAATTGAAATTCTCTGACTACATACATATAATTAGTACTCTCTAAGCTACAGTTAAAGCCATTTCGTCACAGCACACGATAGCATACATAATTAATGTTCTTTCGTCACAGCACACAATAGCATACATAATTAATGTTCATTGAGTTATAGTCAAGATAGTGACTTCATGTGCTGTTGTCATGCACAACTTTGGAACTTCCTTGTGTATAGAGTTGCCACAATCAAGATTATATGCATGATAGTAGTATTAGCATCCTAAAGGTAGTCTCGCAGCAAAACTTTTGTGTTCTTTAAAAGATATGAGAATATATTATAGCAAATATAATACGAATTTAAATAATTTAAATGCATTTCTGTCTAACACTCAGTTTACATACGTTTTTTTTGGCAGCCTCTAATAGTTTTAAACTACAAAAATTGGAGACCATAACAGAGTCAGCCAAAGACACGTTTGGAGAACACGTTTGAACACGTCATGATGGACATTTACAGGTATAGGACCAGAACAGAGCCTCTTGTTTAGAACCAAGGGACCGAATTTGATTTGAGGACCAGTAGAGAGGCTTAACAAAACGTCCTATAACCCTAGGCCTTTTCCGAGCAAGAAAAGACGATTGTTGTTTATTACCCTTTACCGTTTAATTAAATGCGATTGTAGTTATGTCTTTAATGTCCTTTCCGATCAAGTCAAGACGGTTATAGCTATTTTAGTTAATTATAACTTACATTGACAATGTTTCAATCGTGGGTAACAATTCGCTTAATAAGAGGAAAGCCCGTGGATTTTAGATTATAATAGTTTATTGCAAAAATAACAATAACCATTAATAAATGCAGTGGGAATCATATGTTTATAATATAATACAACCTCCTACATCAAATTATATTTCACAATTGAATAGAAATCTTATAGTAATGCATTGTTTTGTACATTCAATGTACGCACCCGCTAAACAACAGTGAATACTATTAATATTAAGACTTATACCAAGTTAATAAAGAGACACCACAATCAAATGCAGCTTTCCAGAAATAAATCTAAGCATAGAAGTAGAGAAGCCAGGCACATTACGGATTATCACATATTCATAGGTAGCCAAAGGAAAATGATTCCGTTTTTCTTTACAGTGAAATCCCTTCACAGAAATTACCTGTGACCAAATGCATGACAAATGATACATCTTCTAGAATTTACCTAGTGAAGCCAAGGAAATACAACAACAGTGATGAGCAGAAAAAAATAATCAAACGATGGGGAAAGATGTGAAAGGGAATGTTAAAATCAATGTACAATTTCTATGCTGATGGATTTTACTAGTATTTACAAACATGTTTAGAAACTAATCATTGAACAGAAAATTGCAATAAGTTCAGCTGTCCTTCACGCAGCGTAAAATGAAGACTTTAACAATCAATGTTCCAAGCTATAATTCCGGAAAAAAATTCTTAAACCGAACAAAATTGTGAAGGTAGCGCGACCGAATTTTTCTGTACCGAAGTGAGGGCATTTTACTTGTGATCCCAGAAAGCATACTGGTAGACTAGCACGTAATTGCTGTTGTCGACTCTTAAAGGGGTAGTGAACCTTCGGGCTGGTCAAATCTTGGCTTTGGCGAAGCATAGTTATATCCAAAAAATATCCATATGTCGACAACTATTGAATAGAAGAAATTGAAATTTTGCGTGCAAGCGGTCAGTTTTGCAGTGCGTAAAATGGGCTAAGCTTAACTGAGCTAACATCGTTAATCTATCAGAATGGTGCGAAAAAACAGCTATTGCGAGACAGATTATTGTGTCACCCGCAAAGTTTTATGTTCAGACTGATGTACCTACACAGGAAAACGTCCAGTGTATCTAAATCTTACCACCAGGGTACAGAACTCACTGGCCTTCCGGATATGCTGCTGTTACTAAACAAAAACCACCCAGTCCGTTCAGAACGAGGGGCATACTATACCACCAGTCCGAGTTCTTCAAGGCCCTTAGCGAACACCAAACCTTGCCAAATGGCACCGTTCGCTCTTTAAAATACTGAAAAATTTAGCACTCCCCCCCCCGTCAGATTATCCTTGATCCGCCCCTGCCTTAATTAGAGCTCACATTATCAACTAAGGTTATAAGTTTTTAAGTTTTTAAGCTAAAATCTTTTCGCTGAAACAAACCTTTTGCCGATTCATAATGTACCGGGTATGTAATTTAACGTTCCATAAAAAAATAAAAATGTAGCACTCACCGATTTGAACAATTTTTTTCCTCCTTTTGAAACATCTGTAGTAAATCCAAATTATTCTGAGTCAAGTAAAATGAACAAAATTGGAAGAAGCTTATCCGGTGGTTATAGCAACATCTCCACGTGAAAACCGCATTTATGATGTAGATTAATTGTTACGTTGCTGACGTCGCGCTTTGCAAGACGGTCCAAAAGAGACAAGGGTTTTTGCATTAATTTGCTAAAAA